GGTTGTCTGGGTTTTTTTGGTTTTGTTTTTAAAAAAATCTGCTTCATGAGATGCAAAACAAAGAATCTTTCCAAACAAAAGAGCTTCATAAGCAGATTACAAGAATGCCGTACCTTGAGCTATTAAAAGTTACAAGATTTTCAGTTCCATAGGTCAAGCTTTCTCTGAAAAGCCTAACTCTCCAACCTCTTCCCTAAGAAAGCATGAGGGTTGTGGTTTTGGGTTTGGTTTTTTTTTCCCCCTCTCTCTCCAAACTGCATTACTTAACACTGACTTGTTTTGCTTAAAACTTCTTACTTTAAAAAAATGTTTTTTTCCTAATCCATATAAAAAATTACTGTATTTATGTAGTATTTCCCTCCATCTTATGATTCTGTATTGTCTATGATTTAAAAAAAAGGCAACCCTTCCCAAAACTCCCACAGGTTTTCCAAGCCCTTAGTCCACAGTTCACTTAAAAATTTCACTGTTACAGATTAAGGTCACAGACAAAATACAAGTTTTGTTTCTTGAAGGAAATCTACAGGAATTATTGCTCTCTCCCTGGTGCCTGCATGTCCATGAAATACAAATGGGTTCAGATAACTTTAATACAGATAATAAAGAAGATTCAGTCCCACAAAGTGATAGGAAACACCTAGACACAAAACACAGGTATGGGTAGGGACTGCACAGATACCAACTTAAATCAGCACACCAAGACACAGCTGCTTTTTGCCAAAATTTATGTTTGACTGCAGTTTTAATAATTCAAGACAAAGCATGAGGATCAGGATAAACTGAAGTGAAGATTATTCAACATCAGGAACAGCCTCTACAATCTTCATAAACCTGGAGAGATAGTGCTGAGATACAGTGCACGAGACACCCCTCATGCTTCTGAAGTGCTCAGTTCAGAGAGTGCTCAGTTAAGTCAGTCTCCCAACAAATGATTCACTTTTTTTTTTTAAATGTGCAAAGAGACTGTACAGAAAAAAATCTGCAGCTTGAACTAACTGTCCATACCTTTCCTATTTCAGGAAAGGCAACTGAGTTGCCAGACAGCATGTGTGTAGATGGTGTTATTTGACCCACAGATCCTGCATGGGCATACACACCAGAGCGGTTCCAAGAAAAGCACTCAGGAGCCCATAGAGGTGAAAATTGAAGCCCACACCAACCAGATGGAAGCAGAATAATCCTGGTTCCGTATCACTAGCTCTACATGGTAGCAAAGACACGGTGGTTAGACCAGCTGATGGTGAAGCAAAAACTAAACAAACTAGAAAGCCTGGAAAGTGGATACTTGAGTGACTTAAATGGGGAACAGGGCAGGGGGGAAATAAAAAATAAAAAGAGTGAGTGAAAGTACGATGGAGCCCAAACCTTTGTTTGAGAGGTACTTCAATTAAGATATGCATGGAGAGATGAAGGATGACCATATCCTTAACACTCATGATGAATCCATCCAGAGAACGCCATTCTGAAGCCTTTCTTGCTATACATTTCCCAGACTGTGAGAATTTGGGATGTGGGTTGATCCTAACCACCCAGAAAGCAAGTCAAGCTGTTCTTTCAAAGTGCTGCCTCAAGAAGGTGTTTCTGAGAAGCGAGTGTCTTCCTGCTACTTACAGTGAGGATCTGAAATTCACAGTGAAGAAGAGTTCATAGCCAAGTCCAAGATTTTAAGGGCATGACAATAAAGTTGGAACACACGTGTGTACGGTAGCCATGGCCGGAGCTGTAAGAAATACAGATGTCTGCAAAAGTTTTGTGGCTTCACTCCCGTAAGGATCAAAACTGAAATAGAAGAGCTGAACCAAGCAGGAATGTTCTGCTGATGGAAACTCAAATGGGGGAATACCGAGACCATTAGTCTGCCTACAAAGAAAGATGCTCCTTGGGAATTAAGAGTGTTTTCAGTTCAGAGCTTATCCATCAAGCCCAGGATTTTAAAAGATCTTCAAGGACACAATACATAAGGAAAACTGGATACCAGTCACATGAAAAAGAATTCCGTTTCACTTGAAAGAATCACTCCCCTTTTGAATTATACCTACTGCATTTTGCTAAAAGACCTCTTTGGATAAGAGCTTTTCTGTATCTGTATTAATATCCTCTCCAGAAGCAAGTAACGGAAAGATGCAACCACCTTCCTCTCAGTGCCATCACTGATACCCATTTTTCTTGCATCCTTCTAGACACAAAACCAGAATATATTTTAAAAAAAAAAATAACGTACGTATTTATGTTGGAAAATGCTGCATAGATGAGGTGATTTATTATACACTTAGAGTGGTGCACTTTTTCATAACGTTCTTAATTTGTGTTTATATAAGGCGTCCCACAGACATTTGGACTTGCTGGATTTTGAGAAAAGGAAACAGCACAAAATGAAGAATATAAACAACCACCATTGTCTCTCTTTATGGACCTTTATGTTTGTTGGACAGTATCAGACCGTTTCCTGTGTGCTGCTGTTTATGTCGGGTACATAACTGAAAGACTGCAGTGCCTTCAGGGTCCTCCACGGTATGAAGCAACATCTGGAAAAAAAAACCCTTGCATTTAATTGATGGTGCAGGTGATTTAGTAAATGAATTTGGGTTAAATTCCCTTAATCTTTTTGTGTTCTATAAACTGAAAAAAGCCTGATAAAAATCTCACAATTCCCATACTGAAGAGAAATATCTACTTATGCAATTCAGCCACAGATTATGAGGTAGCCAAATGAACTGTATGCTTTACTACCTTACACGGTTACTTCTAATAGGTTTTGTGCTAGGCATCGTGAATCCAAGCTATCAGCTATCTTATTGCAGTGAAAAAAGCAAGGTTTTTAAGACAAAATATGATTTATATTTTGATGATTAATGATTTAACTGAAGGTTTAAATTCATACAAGGTATTTAAAAGATATTGAAATAGTAAAATACATATATAGTTATTTCTGCTCTACTAGACAGACCTCAATTCAACTCAAAAATTCCAAGTCATTGCAAATGAATACATATTTATCTTCAGTACTACAAACTACAACGGATTATTTTCATACTTTAAGGAACTGAAAAAAACTGAAACAAAAAGAACAAATAATCTCATCCTTGCTTGCTTCCTTTTAATGTAAATACCTTAGTTATTCTTCCCAAGTGAAATACTTTCTTCCTCTTTTACCTTAGAAAGAGTGCCTTTTCCCCTGTGTTTGTCATGGAAGATTACACAGATGATGAGGATAACTGGCTCCTGCAGGGTTAGAGGGGAGCTTTCCTTAAAAGTTTTCACAAACATTCAAATCCTGTTAGCAAAGAAATAAAATTGCTCTTTCACTTTTAGTTGTTTTTACCATCATTGAAAACGGCAAACGAGAAGTATAACCTGTTCAAAACCTTGTTTAAAAATACAGTGCTAAGTAAGCATATTGTTGAGTTTCAAATCAAAGTGCAACAGATGCAAAATATGAAATCTTTTAAAATGCATCTTCACCCTTTTCATAATATGTATATCTTTTTCCTTGAAAGGTGGTATTTCACACATCAATAGTTTCAGACCTAAAAAAAGGCTCCTGAGTAGTATTGCACTTGGAGGCCTTGTTTAAAAATACAGTGCTAAGTAAGCATATTGTTGAGTTTCAAATCAAAGTGCAACAGATGCAAAATATGAAATCTTTTAAAATGCATCTTCACCCTTTTCATAATATGTATATCTTTTTCCTTGAAAGGTGGTATTTCACACATCAATAGTTTCAGACCTAAAAAAAGGCTCCTGAGTAGTATTGCACTTGGAGGAGTTCATATTTAAAAAAGAAAATTGCCATTTTGTGGCAGGGGGGGGTGAGAGGTTTAAAATTTAAAAAAAAAAAAAAATTGATAAAATAAATGGGTAGTTTGACAAAGTATGAGGCACTCCAATATTAAAAACAGAAGAGGAAAACATCCCTAAAAAGATCTTGAATTGAAGGCCACACTCTATTCACTGTATGTTATGCTCCAGTATCTCTCAAGAGTGAACAACTTTCAAGACTGATACCTACTAAGATTGAACTCTGTCTCTTCTTGCATGAGATGCCTATGTTTATGCCCACTCCATTTCTAGGTGGTCTGAACTGCATCACTCCTTCCCTCCCTCTGTGTTCTTTTATTAGTAGATATTTGAATAAACACCACTTGAAAGCCTGTAATGAAAAGTTGAGTGCCGCTCCAATAAAAACATACGAACAAATATTCACATATTTTACTGTTCTAACACAGAAAGTTCTCTATAAAGAGCAAGAATCAAAATAGTGTCAGGTAACAAGATTACCTAAGGACGCATTAAATTTCTTCTTCCACAAAATAATTGTTTCTTCATTAAAACCAGACAGTATTTCAGTTCTACAAAACAAGCCCTATAGATCTTTTCTTTCACTTCCAATAGAAATTTAATTAGGACAGATAAATTTCCGCAATATTTTGTTGCAACAATAGCAACCCATTTCAAGTAAGGAATTAATGTAAAGTTTTATTTCTGGTCATTTACATGACTAAAATACCAATTTAAAAAAATGGATTAGTTCTTAAGCTTCACAAATTCCACTTTTTAAAAAAACCTTTATTTTCTCTTCTTAAATCAATTTCTAGAAATTTTGCTCAGAGAATGTAATATATTTCTACTGAAAATACTTTTAGATAATTTTCCTAATTTTTTTTTCTAAGAATAGAAGGAAGGTGCCATTATTGTTTTGCTTCAGAAGCCAGTCCCTGCTATCAGAAAAGACTTGGCATGGCCACACACACACACACAAGTGTTCAGGTGCAGTATCATACAGATCAGTAAAGAATATACAAAAAAACCATAGTGTATAATACTGTGACAGTTTTTCAATATATTCATATACAGTCATCTCCGACTACCTGTAACTAAACTGGCACAAATCCTGAAGAACCTTGTCTAGAAAATTGAGTAACCCATCAATATATTGTATCTCTTCTAAAAATACCCATTTTTTACACTAATATACAAGGTATCTGCTTGCAAACACAGAAGTAGCCATAAATAAAACTTTATTCTTTCATTTCATTTACAAGCTACCAAGTACCATGTATTTACACAGCACTGGACACTTAAAGTAGTTGCAGTCACAAAATGATCCAGACAGCTGTTGATAAAGTAAAGGATCTTAAGATAAAAGCAAAGTAATACTGTAACAGATAAGTGGCAAAAAGCAGTTTTGCCATAATGATCAGACTTGCATGTTGCATCAATTCTGGTTGAAACGACTGAGCGCCATGCGATTCTCAGCTTCGTTTGCAGTCTGGCTAAAGTTTGTACAGTCATTTCTCTTTTGCAGTTATTAAAATAAAAAAAGTTAAAAACTATAGCAGCAACAAGCAAACCCTGTGACAGGAAGGCAAGGTTTAAGAACTAAAAAAGTTTATACAATGTGCTTAGGAAGGTTGCAGAATTTATCTTCCATCGGCTGGAGTTCGACTGAGTGACAGCATGATTCGGGCGTATCTTTCACACAGTTCGTGTGTGGAGTAGGAGGGTAACTTTGGCGGGTCATTGAAACCTTTAATCTCTGTAGAACAATCTAGCAGTTTTGGCAGGAAATCTGTCAGCTTTTCTTGCAAGTTAGCTGCAAATAAAACAAGAAAAACAAACATAAGCATTTACATCTGCATGTGGAATTCTCCTTTTTCTGCCCAACGTTGACTTTTTTTTTTACTGATGGGTGGGAAGAGGAGGAGTTTTCATTTGGTATAATCCACTTTCTTCAGGTCTGCCAGCAATAACTAGGACATACCAATTCCTAGTAAGATGTTAATATAAATGCCCCTTCAGATGCTCTAACACCACAAATGGTTTTCCGTTCAAAAAGTACGTTTCCTTTAAGACCTAATGCCCCAGTGCAATATATAGAAAAACTGTTTATTTAAATATGTATGGGACTATTCAAAAGTCAGGGTAGCTCAAAATACATTACCAAGAAGACACAAAAGATACAGGTTCAATTCAAGACATTGAAAACATCGCTTTTATAAAAAAGGTGCACAAGGGCCTTTTACCTTAATGAATAAATGACTTACGTTCCATTTCTTGTCCAAGATAGGAACACCAACGGTTTCTCATATCTTCCACAGCAACAATATCTTTTTCTTCCATTTCATCCACCAGTAGTAATGGCAAACACGGGACAATAAGCTCATTCATAATGATCAGGCCATTATTTACTTCCTGATCATCTCCCGATTCAAACAGTGCTGCAGCATGTTCATTTAGTTTCTTCATAAACCACCACAAAAAAGGAAAGCCTTTAAGTATACAGCATTTCACATTCTACCATGCATCAGTTTCTGTTTGGTTTAAAGCACAGTCTTCCTACAAAGCTACCTGGTAATTTGTATGGACCATAGTTGCGCTTTAACATTTACAGCAAGGATACATACACGCTATTAAACCACTTGATCTTGTGCCACTTCATTTGATACCTGCCAACTCAACCTTTGCAGCTGTTCTTTTTAAGACTGAGGTCCTATCACCTGCTTTTGTTTTCTCGCTATTGCCAAAAGTGAGATAATCAAGGAAAAGCTCTTGTTTCCTGCTGCTGCCTTTTCCAATATTTGTCTCCCTGCCAAACTGTAGCAACAGGGTGAGTCTGCTCACCAGCACTGTCAACTGTTGTTCCTACCCAGCCCCAACATGATGGCAGTGAGCATGCTATTTACAATCATAAAGATGATGATTGATTATTCAAAAAAAAAAATGGGAAGAATGTTTTCCTTCTTACTTTTGCTTTTTTTCCTTACCCAAGTCTAAGTATTAACTTGTTAATGAAAGGGGGTTTTGGCTGGTTTTGTTCTACAGGATGGCAACACTTTCCTACTAATTAATTTTGTTAAAAGCTATGCAGCAAGTTCAGCTTTTTGAAACATACTTCACCCTTCACTTACTAGCAAACATTCTCGTCTGTAGTGAGATATCAGCTCTTCATCATGCCCTCTGTACGGGCCTTTGGACAAGAGTTCTTTATTATTCTGGTAAGCATAGATAAGGTAGAGCAAGGCTTCCATATAGCTGAAGTAAAGAAACAAAAACATTAGATGCAACATCCGGGTCCCACCTCTTTCAAGCTAACTACTGTGCTCTTCAAAGGACAGGTAACTTCACCTGCCTGTTTGTCTATAAGTCCACCCCTCCCCGCCAATCTCTTCATAATGTTTTTTCTACCACACAATTTCATCTTTTATGCACATTAGAACAATTTATTTTATTATCAGGGTAGATCACTTGCACATGAAGTCTGATCCAAAGCTCGCTGAAACCAATGGATATAATTTCACTCACTTCCAAAATAGCTTTGGATTAGCCTTGAGTATACATGAAAAGTTAATTTTTCCTGCGTGCATTTACGTCACATTAGGTTTGATCTTCTGTTGCCATATATAGCTCGATAGCATTCTACACCTTAGCAAATAAGATTTAAAGCTGTCACCTTATTTCTAAAAAATAAATTGTGAATTTTTAGCCTCACTAACTGCAAGTTCTTCCAAACTATCGAAGTCTGAAGCGATGGAAGAAGCCACAACAACATTTCAAAAGCAGAAGTGATGCTAGACTGTTGATATTTCTGTCTTTAATCTAAATGCAGAAGATAAATACAAGCCTAATTGGTATAGGACAAGTAACAGAGGACCTAAGAACCTAACAGTTAATAACCAACAGAGGTCCCTTCACACACAGATTAACAATCTCCCCTCACACTGTTGCATACCATTTCCAGCAGACACCTTAAATTGTTAATTCTCTGACTTACAGAAACCCAGCTATGACAGACAGCCACTGAAAGCAGTTCAGGCAGCTACCCTAAAAACAAGCAGCTAGAAATCTCATTTTTGTTCAAACTAAAAAAATCTAGGAAGAGAAATTTCCTAACGGAGTGGTTAGAGAACAGTACCTTGTGGTTTGGTTTTGGTAGTTTAAACCTTAACCATGACCTCCTGTTCTCACTAGGAGTGAGTGAGTGCACAAACTACTAAAAATGGCTAAAAATTATGTGTGAGCACACACAGGGCATACCTGAAAAATACATGTCAGAATTTTCCAAAGTAGACAAACTCAAGACTTACAGTAATGCCTCCCAATGAGACAACATAAAAAGAAGGGAAAAGGCTTCTTGAACTAGCATAGTTCCTTAAAGCTTTACCTTCTAATATCCCTGTTTAGAAGAACAAGATGAAGCCCGACACCATAATTTCAGAATCTACTGTGAAATTATTTCTTCCACCATGAGATCTGCTCATAGCCTCTTGCAATTCTAAATATTTATTGCTTAAGTAATTAATATATTACAAGTACAGTCACTGTTCTCCACCTTTTTGTCCTCAAAATACAAAGCTATGCTTTCATTAAAAGAAGTCTATTACCCTCTCCTCAAGTCCATTTCTCCTGCTCATGAAAACTCTTCACACCACTGATGACCAACACAACTGACCAGACAGCAGAAAACTTAATGTAGAAGGAAAGGGGAGATGATGATTGCAAGGAACTGGAATTGCTGGATATAAAGCCAGAGGAACAGGACCTTCTCTCCCTTTCCGTTCTTAGTTCAGTTATTTGTGAAACTGCAGGTTGAAATTGCAGCGTCAACAACTCAGTTGATCCAAATTAAAAACTTGCTGCTGGTAGTGGCCTTATTCCCAGTCCCTCTCTTCCTGCTCCTTCCAACAGTTGTGTGACCTTTCCCTGAAACAACTGTAGTGCCATCTAACAGCAATGTAAGCTATTTTAAATCATTACTGTACATCCAAGCTCAGAGTCCTTCTATATCTTGAGAGTCTGAGGAATACGATTACAGCGTAAATTAGCAAACAGATTCTGCCTTTTCACACCTGAAGTGTATATAAGCTCCAGCCTATGAAGCCTAAGCCTAAAAACCACTGAGGCTGCTCACAGAATTATGAATTATGGAGCTCACTGGGTCTAGGCTTTGGAAAAGATGCAGAAATCACAGGTTGGCTAAATTTTAGCACTGCTTTGAAAAAGGCATTTCAGTTAAAACTGAAAAACTGTATTGGCTTTCCAAGAAACTTGAAAGGCAACTGCTAAGGTCTATGGTTTGTTCACTCTTCAGTTACTACCGCAAGAGCAAGCTGCAGGTGAAACTCCTGCCAAGGTTCATTAGCTGGCTGCATTTGTCTCACCCACAGCAGGTTCCTACTCTATAGTACAGTCAGAGAAGATATGCCTGAAAGACCCTTTAATTCTCCACTTGCAGTGAAAAGAGGGCCTTGCCAACCACCATAAGGGATCATGAGTGAACACTGAAAGTAGGCATGACTTTCCAGTGCTCAGCATAAGGTGATTTTTCAGTAGTACTAAGAAACTTGTTTCCTTTGCACCTTCAAACGCGGTCTTGTATGTTCCGCACTCCAGCACCAAGACCTATAAAAGCAAGCTACACAGAGAACAAAAAGATACACCAAACTACTTCTTTAATGTTGATTTTGTGTTTGTTCAATGCAGCACAATTATTTAAGAAAATCAGAGACTGCCTGGATAAAGGCCGATTTTTGGCTCCATCTAGAGATTGAGTGCTGCTAGGTACCAAATAGTGTTATTAAACTAAGAAAAGTTGGTCGACTGAGGGAGATGGGTTTCTGAAAAAAGCCTCAAAAGAGTCCTGCTGCTGAAGGTCATATTTCAATTATGAAAGTATATTTTCATAAATATTTTTAAAGTTACATTTTTATGATTTCGGTGTTAATAAGGGAGTTGGAAGAGTTCATCAATTTAGTCTCGTTTTCAGAATAAGGACGGTAGTACTGCCCTCTAGAGTGTACCAGATGTGATTCTCAGTAAATCTCTCAGTCCTTTGGGAACCTGCAGCTGAAACACGAGTGCGTAAGTACAATAGATGCCTTTAGAGTAGGTCAATGGATACCCAGATCCTCGCCCATCCTCTAAGCATGCTTAACCCTAGTCTTACTGTCTTTGTTGACATTACATAATGCCCAAGCATTTATGAAATTGCATTTCTTGCCAAAGCAAATGAATGCTACACTTGTTTGGATGTTAGATGAGTCAGAAATAAAAAATACGATATTATCAGAGTCTAAGACTGGTCATTATAGGCTTGTTTTCTAAATTACAAAGATGTTTGGTAACAAATGCCTCACCCTAATTTTGCAAATTAATGTAAATAATGGAAAACTGTACCAAAAATTCTGTTCAGCACAGAGCAGAAACCTGTGCTTCCCTCCCTCCCCCGTGGCATAATCAGAATATATGATGGTAAGAAGTGGATTAGTGAAAACACTGGTATTTTGCAGTTGAAGGTGCCATCCTGGAGTCCCAGTGCCAAGGCACTTGAAGATCTTCCATTCCTGCCCGCATGCTTAGAGCATGCATGAAGTCCAGGGGCAACAAGGAGGGTTCCTATATACCACACCGATGCCTGTGACATTTTTGCCTCCTTAAGGGATCGAGCAATACCAGACTGTTTATTTTTCAAATAGGCCAGGCAATCTTCTGACCAACCTTTGTACATAAGCTGTTCAAGACTGACAAAGTAGCATATTGCAATTTGGATTATTAATGAATGTACTATTTATTACACACTAGCAACCAGAAGACAAAACAGGACTACGGGCTCATTGTTTTAGCCACTATACAAAGACGTAGCTTGTTACAAAGACAAGGCAGTGTCTTTTCCAATCAATTTTCCTGTTTTGTTTGGGGCCTTTCTTGTTTGGGAGCATGTAAGACAAGAAAGAAATATGAAGCAATTTACTAGACAACATACACACAAGAAATAGAGTTTGATTCCCACTACAATTCCCCTACCTGTGTTATACAGGAAAAATCAGTGATTGATTACAGAACTGTTTTCACAGTCAAAAATTTGTATCATGTGATAGCTCAATTTTCACACAAGGGATGTCAGTCACTGGATATTTTGCAGCTAATCGTTTTGTTCCTTTGGCTGGGCATGGGAGGAAGAGGCAGTTTTGAACAATTCTGTTTCAAAGACTCTCTTCTGCAGAATGTTTTGAGGCATTTATACTGTCATCACCATCCTTGTTGCATGTAGTAGATCAGAGTATAAGTTTTAGCTGTAGTGCATTAAGTACATAAATGTCACCAATTTTATATAGCCACAATTCCTGACTTGGTTGGAAGAGAGAAGGGAATGAATCACCACTGCCTCATGGAGCTAAGAAGAATCAGCTACAACTATGACAGTTACGCATGATAGTTTCCTTAAATATGTTCGTTTTCCCTGACCTTTAAAGCCCATCACAGGTAGAATTTTGGCTCAGACAAATGCAGAATGCAAAATTGCTTCTGTGGGAAGACCCAATAAAAAGATGGGTAAGACGGGGACTTGATTAATTGTGATTGCTGATGAAAGCAGATAAATGTATGTGTACATGTGGTGCCAGAGAGGAAAGGGGTTTATGTCTGAAGGATACCCAGAGCACTTAGATTAGGAGAGAAGGAGGAATACAGGTGGAGGGTGCTCTGAAAAGAGTACGTGGCTTGATAAGAAAAGAAGAAATGGAGATTAAGAATAGGAAGCTGTGGGAAACTAAGGTAGATGCAAGACAGAAGACATTAATGGACTGAATAAATGCTTAAATAAAGTGAAGAATACATTAAACAATACTTAATTTTAAAAATAGCTTTACTTATCAATATTACATTTTGCCTTCAAATTGCTCTACCACATTCAAGTTCTATACTACCACTTACCTCTTTTTTTGGAAAAACTCCAATCCTACCATGAGAAACATGGTGGTTTCCCTGAAATTTCTATAGTCTTGATGCCATCTCTGCATATAAGAAAGGGTATATAGAATTTCATCCACAAACATAAAATACAATTTACTACACACACACGTTACTTAGTGCTGAATACTCACAGTAAGTGCTAAGGACTCCTAGTAAGCTTGCATGTGGGAAAAGTCCGCCTGCATCCCCCCTCCCTCAATAAAAAGAAAATTCTTAAATACCTAAAATATTTCTAAATGAGATTATTTTTACAGAATGCATTACCATTTGAAAGGAACACCAAGCATCTCTGGACAATCAGTGTCAGTATTATAGGAGATCCCCTTTTTCTTCTCAAAAAGAGTTGAGAAGCTAATAGCCTTTTTTTCTTCCCTACATTACACTCAGTTATTTACTCAGAAAGTGTTAGAAAGCTTTTTCATACACTAATATTAAGCTTAACTTTCAATATAAGAATGACATAGAAAAAGCTTGAACACATGACATGGGAAGTGACAAAGAAAACAAACATACAATTCAGATTGTGGAGATATTTATACTGGAGTAAAACATTTATCTTACTGCATCATCATTTATATGAAGTGACTACTGGTACACTTTACAGGTAAATATTCTAAGTGAAAAAGGTGCTTTTACTGCAGTTGGTTAGTAGCCAACTTTCAATTGCTTATTAAAGATAAAATAGGGGACAGCATACCATAATATATAGCCACTTACAGATTCAACACAAAGAGCATGAGAAAGGGTCCATGAAATGCCAACTCACTACAGAGAACAAATACTGATACAACCTTTGGAGAAACCACCAACTATCTGCTTCAGGAGCTAAAAAAGTGGCTCTGTCTGCAGGGGAATAAAAGACACCCCACTCCCTCCCTCTTAAAGTTAAGTCCAGAATTGTTTATTCTACCTGTGCAATGCCATTCAGAAAATGGTAAGACATTGAGCCTTGCACAGCCTAAAAAATGCAACAGAAATCCCACTGTGAGAGTCCTTTCCCCTCACAGGTCAGGGATGTTATGCTGTAATGTAGTAGGCATCTACTGTAGGTCCTAAACGTGGTAATGAGAAATGACAAGTAAATATTTTTCATTTGGTTTGCTGAGAGGAAGCTTACTCCCATAGTCCTCCCGAACAAACTTCGGGTTTGTTTAAGTGGTTTAAGTGGTGCACTGGAATCTGCCCAGGACATAGATATCCCCTGTTAAGAGGCCTTTATGAACAGTATTACACCGAGTTGAAACTGATGTTGTAAAACTAGCTACAGACTTAGCGTTAAATATGAGATGAATTATTTTGGCAAATATTAGTCACAATTATTTAATGTCCGAGATTTGCTCTTCCTTCCGAGTTTTTCTAAATAGTGCAGGAGGAAAAATTAAATGCATAAACTGGTTACATATGGTCTCAGCAAACAAAAAAATTTGGTGCTCATAAGAAAATGGGAATGGCTGCAGAGACAGCTGGAGGAAAAGCACAAATGTGACTGTGCCTGTGAGCCAGTTCTCAAGATGTGTAAGGCTAGGCTTAGACCAGTCTCACTCCTTCACTGCTAGGTGTTTTTGACTAGAAAAAGCCAGTTGACTCATATGGTGATAAATTATGAAATACTGTTTGACGTTGAGACACATTAAGGAGTAAGAACAAATGTCAAACTTGACATTTATTTATGGCTTAAATCACTGGAATTACAGTGATCAAACCAGCTTTAGATCACCTGGTCAGAGCAGCATTCCTACAAATAAATGGTCTTCCAATAACCAGTTTTAACTTCTTAGTGTAAGACAAGAAGAAATTTGTGAAGATAAAAGTCAGCTTACTGATAACTATTTCACGTCACAGTTTAATTTAAAGCATAAAAAATACTGACCTCGTATTCCTCCATGTTTACTTCATCTGGCTTTATCATTTCAAGTTTAGCTTGAGCAACCTTCATTATGTTACGGCACCTTACAAAAAGCAACAAGAAATCATGGAAGATTACTGGAAATTCACAAAGGATATTATCCATACAAAGACAGCAGCCTCAAACAGTATAAGTTACAGCCTTATGCAAAACAGTATGAAAACACTGTGGAAAATGTGCTTGTTATTATGCATGGTATAATCAGCAGGAGAGGGCATACTTTAGAAGTACATGTGAGGGAGGCCTGTGCTGTTTAACAATTACTTCTTGTTTTATTTTGCTAAATTGCCACATTGCTTAGTCTCTCTTTTTAATTCAAAGTTCAGATGGCTTGAAACTCCTCGGTATTTACTTTGCAAAAGTAACACTAGAGGATCATTCACTATGCAGAAATCAGACTAATGTTCTCTACCTTTCCATTTATTTAATTCTTTAAATAAGTAAATATATGGAATTTCAAGTGGAAAAGAAACGTTGTCTTGCATTCAAGTAAGTTACCCATATAGCTTGCAAGGCTTTGCTGTCTACTGCTGGCTTTCAGGGCAGTAAAGAATGCAAACTATACAGCCTTACACAGTGTTTTGAAAGAAGGTACAGAAATCTACGTGCAAAATTATGAGCAACGCTGAGTATTTATCTTTATTTCATAACGACAGAAAGCCAACTTCTTGTTTACTCTTTTTACAGAGATCTTTATAAAGATGATATTTTTTACAAAAATATACCTGCAAGCTCTTAACTAGAAGATAAAGCCAAACAAACACACTAGCCTTCCCTCTATTACGTGCACTATCTGAATACAAAGGGGTGTCTCCACCCATCAGAAAACGTTTGTGAGCACAGGAAATGACACATGCAGATCTTATTACCTTTCATCAAAGCTAAGATTGTGATCTCCAAACTGTTCCAGTAACGTTCTCTCAATTATCTTCTTTGGTGCCTGGTTTTGGATGAAGTAAACAATTGCATGACGCAAACGGTAATCACATTCAGGTGGTGGATCTTCCTGGGCTAATTTTAGCAGACGCGTGTATTCCAATTTAATTGCCTAAGTAATTTTAAAAATAGACATTATTCTTTCTAGCTTTTAACTCTTAAACGTCACAGACAGTAACAGGATAATTCATGTCCCATGGTCTTTTGCCTACAAAATTATTTTTTAACAATTCCACACTCCACCCTTCTAAAAAGTCTGAACTACATTTAAAAAAAAAAAACCAAACAAAAAAACCCACACAACAGACCAACCAAACAGACAGACAGTAAAGTTGTTCCTGTCTCTCCCCAGCTAAGCTTGCCAAAATCCCAGGCAGACCTTTACTTCAAAAGCAGTCCCAATCCTGTGCTACATCTCCCTGGGAGAAGGTTTATCCAATCCCTAGAGAGACGTCTTTAAGCATTTGCAGTCCAAAAGCAGTGTAAGATTTCAGACACTTAAAAGAATCTTCTAAAATCTCATAAGGTAAAAAAGGTACCTTTAATACATGGTTAAAATGCAAATACATGAATAAAACAAGTTCTACAGAAAGTTTAATAAACACGTATGATTTTGGAAACACTAAGTGAGAACGGAAAATGTCTTCCAACAAAAATCAAATTGTAGGATTTCTAAAGAAAATAATACTTCGATATGAATAGTATTAGTCTCCTACAGGGCAGGACGGAGTCCTCGCTGAATATTTTAGATCGACTTTAGAGGTCATCAGAAGTGTTTACTTTTCCAGCTTTGCAAGCACATTAGATTTTAATGAACATCATCTGTTATGTTCATTAGATTTTATTCACTGGAACTATACAGCATGAACAAGAGCAACAACAAGAAAAATAATTAGAAGAATGGTGACAAATGTTAATATGTTCCATAATTTATCTCTCAAAATAGGGAGGTGATCAGATTGTTTGCTAACACTAAATGTAGACTTGAAACAAATGACTTAACACAGTAGCTTCACACACTAGCCAAGTTTCAATACAACATACACACAAAATAAAGCTCCAAAGCAGGCAGAAAAATATCCTGTCCAATATTTCAAATTCCTTCATGTTGAAATACCTGGCAGTAGCAGGTAACTTCTTGACGTTTAACTATCAGAAATTTGGGCTCCCATCCTCTACTAACACACATTTTGTTTCAGGACTAAACACGTGGGTAGGATACTATTTATACAGGTTTAAACACACAGCGTGTGGAGAACTTGAAAACTTAGGAGAACGTTCTGCATCAATATTTTTAAGTACTAATCATATGCATTATCATTAAAAAGGAAGTTTGGGAGAACTGATTATAAATATCAAAAGCCACAGACAGAGTTTCTATTCTTACATCAGAAGAAGTTCTACCATTAGAAAACCAACATGGATAACTATGCAATTAAACCCTGTTTATTGGGGTAGGCCAGAAACAAAAAGCAATTGCTAGCAGACATTTAATTTTTCAGAGAATTACTTAGAAGTAGGAAAAACTGCCACACAAATCCTATATTTTTATATACATATTTAAACAAAATAAAATGGTATACTACAGATTCAGAAATCCTATGTACAATGAAAAAATATAACAGTATTTCTTTACACAATACAGGAAAAAGGGATGGTAAAGAAAGCATTATATGTTTTCATTTTCTCACTGAGAATGTTATATAAAGATCTTAAGGCAAACATTCTGCAAGGAACTGTCTATAAAGTCTAAAGGAGGATGATTGGAAGAGGTCACTGATGGAAGAAATATCTTAATGGGTTTGTATTAGTCACGTCTCAAGCCTGAGATCTAAAGGGGGAGTGAAACCTTGGCAGTAACAATGACCCACGTCAAATGGGTTTTACCTGGGTTACACTAAAACAAAAGACATCATAGAAAAAACCCAACACTTTTCTGTAAACACTCATTTTATAAAAAAAACACATGAAGAAACCCAGAATACAACAGTATTAAAAAATACCATAGAAGCTTTTACAGCGAGTTTATGGAGTAATGTTAGATTTCATCTGATACGTTTCAAAATACAAAATTTTGTTACTAAGTAGGACCACTTCATCTGCATACATTCATACTAATGTATTCTTCAAAAATGAAGCATGTTCCACCTCTTCTAAGTTATTGCAAACATGATTCAGCTGAAAATGAGTAAGGAAACTTTTCTACTCTCCAACAATTTAGTGTCAGAACATTTTCTCACTCAGAGACAAATTCTGTCCCCTGTGAAGTGAAAATGTTTAAGCATTCAAAATTAAAGACCGAAAAACATTTCAACTGAGCATTGTTTTGATAACTCTGAAGCACTAAATATAATTTTATTTTGAACTGCATTTCTGTTTTAAAATTATCAAAATACCCTTCATATTCAAAAAATATTTTGGTGTAATTAAACTTTCTGGTAAAGAGTTTGATTTGATCAAATGAGGATTTTTTTTCCATAAAAAAGTAAAAGATTGACATCTTTTCATTAAGTAAAAATTGGGGGGGGGGGGAAACAAAAAA